GTTCCAGAAGACAAGCAACATTAACGCTTTTCAGTCATACAAGACCTTGTTGCCAATCCTACGTGATTGACTCATTGGGTCGGCGGATGGAGACCGTGGAAATAGCACGGCGAGATTTATACTCCTCCTGGAATTTGTTATGAGGGTTGTAGCACTTGCCCTTTACATGTGTATCACGGTACCACGCTTAAATTCACTGACCTCCTGAGAACGACCCATTCTTTCACAAATGTTTGTAGAAGCAGTCTGCATGCCATGGTGCTTGATTTTATGCACCTTTGGCCATGGAGGTGATTGGAAAACCTGAATACTTTTGGCAATATAGTGTATGTAGACACCATCAAATGGGAGGTCAATAAGCTGTAACTCAAGGAATCCCTAGCAACTTCTAGAGGAAACTTCCATGGAACCCTGGTTGAGAAAGGCTGCCCTAGACCCGGTGAGTGCAGAATCTGAGAAGGACTTCTGTCAGATAAGCTAATGAGAAGATACAGCAATTTAGACAGAATTAGTTGTTTTAGAGAATAAGTGCATACATCTTTTCCTCCATTCCCTTCCCATCATTCATTCACAGACACAGGGTACAGAACCGATCTGAACAGCTCTGTACTATATAATTGATATCCAATCACAAATGTAAACAGTATACTGTTTACATTGGAGAGCCCAACTCTTCCTCTTACAACAGAAGGAAGGAGGACCAGTCATTAGCTCTGCAGATGCAGGGTAGGATGGGGTGTGATTGTGGAAACCATTTTAAATCTTTTACCTCCCCCATACATCTGCTCTCCATCTTGTATCTATGGTACCTGTACATCTACCCCTTCCCCCTCATTTTGCACCTCTGCACATTAACGTCTTCATCTCCATCCTCCCCAATTATGTAACCAGTACATTAATCCCTTTACTTACTCCACTGTGTATGACCTATGATGCGGATACGTCTAGTGCACCATTACCAAGCTCCATGTTTTAGCCACCCTATTTCCAGCATGTTGCTTTATTTAAAAAAAAAAACATTTAAAAAAAATGACCTTGGGGTGTTTACTTTTTTTTTTTTAAAGGGGTCATTTCAGGGGTGTACTGTACTGGCATTTTTATTTGTGATAACGGAATAAGGAAAACTTTTTTTTCTAAAATGTTGGTCTTTTTTTCTTTTATATAATAACAAAATAACAAACCCATTAGTTCTTAACCCCTTCCCACCAACTGTACACACATATGTATATATATACATATATATAGAGATAGATATATATATATATATATATATCTGTATCTGACCTTACGAAAGTGGGTCTTTATCCGTGAGGCTGAATATATGCACAGGCCGCTCACAGCCTAGAGACTGGGGTCTTGCTGAGAGCTCCGGGTCCTATACCAAAGATCAGAAAGTGGAAGGCCTGGATACTTATCATTGTGACAGCCTCTGATTGGCTATTAAAATGATCAGTCACTGTATAGGCTGCCCGAGTGTTATTTTTGGTCCTGATTATCAGTGTAAACAAGTGTACTGTCAGTCTTATTGATTATCGGCTCCCCTTTCTTCACACAGACACAGTGTGTAAGGAAAGAAATACCAATAACGAGCAAGTCTGTTCACATGTGACCAGTTGTGATTGGACTCAGCTGACCACATGATAGAGGGCCGCTGTGATTGGTCCTTTATTGTGATCTGAGATCAGCTGTGTTCAAAGAGCACAGTGGTCACAGAGCGCGCCAGATGCGTACATGTGGAAGGACGTCAATGGACAGCCTCTCACAACTGGAGACGCTGTAGCCGTCTCTCGACTATAGCGCAGTCACGAGGAGATAAAAAAGGTATAATCCACCTGGAAACAATCAGTAGCTGGGATGATATATACAGTATTGCTAACATGTCAGATTTGCAAAACTGTGTTCAGGTGTTAGGATTTGTTTTACCCTTGTCATGAACGGGTTAAATATGGCCAAAACAAAGCTCCATCCATCTCAAAAAATATACTATCGCAGCACTGAACACTGTTTGTGAATGTGATAGTATTTCAATACATGAGATTAGATGGTGGAAACAGATGCGATCGATAACTTATGATCGTATTTAACTACTTCCTGTCCCCCATAGCAGAAATACTGCTACAGGGAGGCACGGGTGCGCAAAATCATACATATGTGATTTTTCATCTCTGGATAGGGGGCGCACGAGTTGTGCCTGCGCCGCCATTCGCGACTGTCAATCACAGGGTACGGGACGGTGATTACTTGCTGGTGCCCGGTGATTTCCGACGGGGAGAACTATTTTGTTTACGAATAGTTTACCTCCCTGTCAGCTCGGGCACACTGCCTTCAATGGCTGTGCACAACACAGCCATCCAAAGCAGTGTGCTTACAGTGAAGCACACTGACACGGCCCCCTATGTAAAACACTCCTAGCACGCAGTTAACTCTTTCATCGCTCCTCATGTTAACCCCTTCTTGCCAAGTGCCGCTAATACAGTGTCAGTGCTTTTTTCTTTTAGCACTGACACTATATTGGTGTCACTGGGGATGTCAGTGACACCAAGTCAGTTCCACCCAGTGTCAGAATGCCTGCTGCAGTCCTGCTATAAGTCGCTGATCGCCGCCATTACTAGTGAAAAAAAAAATCCCCCAGTATCTATACCGCCATTTGTAAATGCTAAAACTTTCACATAAACCAATTAATTCACACATATTGGGATTTTTTTTTTTTTTTTTTTAGCAAAGACATGTAGCAGAATACATTTTGGCCTAAATTTATGACGAAATGATTTAATTTTTTCTACTGGACATGTTTAATAGCAAAAAGTCAAAAATATTGTTTTTTTTCTCAAAATTGTAGGTCTTTTTTTTTATAGCGCAAAAAAAAAAAAAAAACACACAGGCGATCAAAAACCTCCGAAAGAAAGCTCAATTCATGGGAAAAAAAGGACGTAAATTTAATTTCGGTGTAGCATTGCATGACTGCGCAATTGTCAGTTAAAGTAACACAGCGCCGTAACGCAAAAAATTGCCTGGTCAGGAAGGGGGTAAATCCTCAGAAGGGCAAGTGGTTAGGCAAATGTGGCACTCATGGGGAAAGCTCAAGTAACCCAGAATGCCTGCCGCAGTCCCGCTATAAGTCAAGTCACCGATCGCCATCATTACTAGTATAAAAAAAAAAAAACCAGTAAAAAAAATTCCATTATCTATACCGCCATTTGTAGAGGCTATAACTTTCACGTAAACCAATTAATTCACACATATTGGGATTTTTTAGCAGAGGCATGTAGTAGAATACATTCTGGCCTAAATGTATGAGGAAATTTGATTAAATTTTTTTACTGTGCATGTTTAATAACAAAAAGTCAAAAATATTGTTTTTTTTATCAAAATTGTCGGTCTTTTTTTTTTTATAGTGCAAAAAATAAAAAACACACAGCCGATCAAATACCACCGAAAGAAAGCTCAATTCGTGGTAAAAAAAAGGCCGCAAATTTAATTTGGGTGCAGCATTGCATGACCGCGCAATTGTCAGTTAACCTCCTTGGCGGTATTCCCGAGTGTAGCTCGGGGTAAAGTTTCAGTACCAAAAGCGGAAACCCCTAGTGTAGCTCGGGGTTACCATGTGGCGTTGTTCAGGGATTCCCTGCAGCGCTTACCTTGTCCTTTGCTCCCGCGATGTCCCTCCTGCAGTGTCCCCGGCCATCTCCTCCAGCCGATGCCAGCATCCGTGTTACGGTCCCTGTGACATTGGGACGTACGGGGGCCGGAACCGGCGGCAAATTTAAAAATTTTAAAAAACTGTCATTTTTTTTTTTGTAAACGAATATTACATAGCAAAACATTGCTGTTTCAAACCATTTCACATACATTTTGTCCCGAGTGCTTTGCCCTGTGCCCTGCCTACATTTTTACTGTTCTTTCTGCCTGGAAACTGAGAAATGTCCATGGCGTCCAAAAAGCGTCCCTTTATGTCAAAAGCGGTTTTAGACCAGCTAGAGAACAGCGATAGTAAATCAGTACCACTTGCAGAATTGAGTGATAATGATTCGTGGGGAAATCGTCATCAGACACTGAAACCGATTCTGCGACTTTGCTCAGTGATGTGCGAACTTGGCGCTATATTTCAAATTTCAGTGTTTTAGGTTTGATTATATTATTGAATTAAAATGTATTATTATTTTTTAGGATTATTTATTAAATTATAATTTATGATTTCGTGTTTCAAGTTTTATCATATTCGGGATGTTTACTAGACTCTTGTTTGGACAGATTTCAGTGAGCTATTCCTAAAAATTACAGGCCTACAATAAAAAAAATACATATTTCCATGCAAAAAAATGGTACCACTTTCAGCACCAAAAATCTGAAATAATCATACCGCTAGGGAGGTTAAAGTAACGCAGCGCCGTAATGCAAAAAATGGCCTGGTCAGGAAGGGGGGTAAATCCTCAGGAGAGCAAGTAGTTAAACTACTGAGCCAAGTCTACTTCTCCGTTTGTGGTACATTGATGGAATGGGTTGTCAACTACAGATCGATTATTACTATTGGAAGAGATCGATCTGAAAAGAAAGGATCATTTATTAGAGTGTGTATCATGGTAATTAGTGCGTTGCAAATAAATGGCACTGCAATGCGCTAATACCTGTAGCATGTGTCACCACGATGCCGAGGAAAAGTGTGAAGAAGCCTTACAGAGGGCGAATCCCCCTAACGGTACACAGGCAGCCATATAAACTGACAGAGGATCTAACCCATCAACACTCCAAAACTTAAAAAGAAAACAAACTTTCCCTGCACTTCTGTTTTAACATTGACAATCACATATTAACCGATCTCAATGCAGCATGCAAAGCATGTCATGGGACCACAGGCCAGCACAGAAAAGGGGACATCTCCAGGGACAGATCTTCCAGCCAGGGACTATCCTTCACAATCTGGATGGGTTGGCCTCCCTGCCTGCATGAAACACGTGCTCAGCCCTGTGGCGCCATTACAAGTCTGCTGGAATGTTACCTACCGAGGACAGGGAGGCCACACCGGCGGTCACATACCGTCCTAGCTGCAGTAACCTCCGGGACCTCAGAGTCCCCTGTATCAGGCCTTTGACAGCGGCCATTTCCGTCTCTTAGCAACGCGTGCTCAGTCCTCTATGCGTTCCATTAAATTTCATGGCGGAAGTCTGCGTTCCAAGCCTCTTTCTTTTCTGTCCAATCAGGAGGAGAAGAATGGAAGCACCGGGAGGCGTTGCATGGACGGTGAGTAGTAGAAGACACGGAAATGTGCATAGAGAGGGCTTGTACTGGTCCTGGACCACCACTGTCTGCATGAGCATGCGTTCTAGGGGCAGCCATGATGCTTTGAATTAAATGGCTCATCTAATAATTATTACTTCTATTGCCCAGAGTTCAGGTCCTATGGGTTTACTGAGGCGAAGAGACCTGAGCGCTGTGCAGTCATTCTGTGATAGGACCATGAATGCTGGTTTTAGGCAACTGTCCATGTTTATGTGCTGAGTGCACCCCAGGGTTGTCACCTCATCCCTTTACACCTTAACACATTATTACACGGGTTCTGTGGCTGATTACAGCGGAGGTCCACCCAACTGCTTATTTGCCTCCTCCCCCCCTCCACTGCCATGTTTGGCACCTTTTGGGGGGTGCGGATACTTGTTTTTGATAGGTACCCTCCCCCACTTCCGGCTCAGTTCGGTCAGCAGCCGGGAGTTCGGCCCCTCCACACCAGAATTGCACATTTCTTTGCGATCTCTGTGTGTTCCTCTGCATTGTGATTTGGAAGCCAATATGTTTCAATGGGCTGAAAATTGCACTGGACTGCACAAAAAGTAGTGCATGTACTTCTGAGAAAAAAGCATTGCACCAAATCACATGGTACTGCGGTACCATGTGATCTGATGCCTGCAAAACACACTGCATTTCCAATCTGTGTTTTGGGTGCCAATAGCAATGTATTGGCATCCACAGCAGATTGCAAAGACAGCGCGTTTCAAACACGGTAATTATTTTAAGCAACAGACGGCATGGATTCATGAAAGACAGAAGTTGTCAAACAAATCTGATTTCTTTTTATGAGGAGGTGAACAAAACCTTGGACAGAGGGGTGGCTGTGGACGTGGTATACTGGGACAGAGGGGTGGATGTGGTATACTTGGACAGAGAGGTGGCTGTGGACGTGGTATACTTGGACAGAGGGGTGGCTGTGGACGTGGTATACTTGGACAGAGGGGTGCTGTGGACGTGGTATACTTGGACAGAGGGGTGGCTGTGGATGTGATATACTTGGACAGAGGGGTGGCTGTGGACGTGGTATACTTGGACAGAGGGGTGGATGTGATATACTTGGACAGAGGGGTGGCTGTGGACGTGGAATACTTGGACAGGGGGGTGGCTGTGGACGTGGAATACTTGGACAGAGGGGTGACGGTGGACGTGGAATACTTGGACAGAGGGGTGACGGTGGACGTGGAATACTTGGACAGAGGGGTGGTGGTGGTGGACGTGGTATACTTGGACAGAGAGGTGGCGGTGGACGTGGTATACTTGGACAGAGGGGTAGCGGTGGACGTGGTATACTTGGACAGAGGGGTAGTGGTGGACGTGGTATACTTGGACAGAGGGGTGGCTGTGGACGTGGTATACTTGGACGGAGGGGTGGCTGTGGACGTGGTATACTTGGTCGGAGGGGTGGCGGTGGATGTGGTATACTTGGAAGGAAGAGTGGCTGTAGACGTGGTATACTTGGACAGAGGGGTGATTGTGGACGTGATATACTTGGATAGAGGGGTGGATGTAGTATATACTTGGACAGAGGGGTGGCTGTGGACGGGTATAACTTGGACAGGGGGGTGGCTGTGGACGTGGTATACTTGGACAGGGGGGTGGCTGTGGACGTGGTATACTTGGACAGAGGGGTGGACGTGGTATACTTGGACAGAGGGGTGGACGTGGTATACTGGACAGAGGGGTGGACGTGGTATACTTGGACAGAGGGGTGGACGCGGTATACTTGGACAGAGGGGTGGACGCGGTATACTTGGACAGAGGGGTGGACGCGGTATACTTGGACAGAGGGGTGGACGTGGTATACTTGGACAGAGGGGTGGACGTGGTATACTTGGACAGAGGGGTGGATGTGGTATACTTGGACAGAGTGGTGGACGTGGATGTGGTATACTTGGACAGAGGGGTGGACGTGGTATACTTGGACAGGGGGTGGCTGTGGACGTGGTATACTTGGACAGAGGGGTGGACGTGGTATACTTGGACAGAGGGGTGGACGTGGTATACTTGGACAGAGGGGTGGACGCGGTATACTTGGACAGAGGGGTGGACGCGGTATACTTGGACAGAGGGGTGGACGCGGTATACTTGGACAGAGGGGTGGACGCGGTATACTTGGACAGAGGGGTGGACGCGGTATACTTGGACAGAGGGGTGGACGTGGTATACTTGGACAGAGGGGTGGACGTGGTATACTTGGACAGAGGGGTGGATGTGGTATACTTGGACAGAGGGTGGACGTGGATGTGGTATACTTGGACAGAGGGGTGGACGTGGTATACTTGGACAGAGGGGTGGTGGTGGACGTGGTATACTTGGACAGAGGGGGTGGACGTGGTATACTTGGACAGAGGGGTGGATGTGGTATACTTGGACAGAGGGTGGACGTGGATGTGGTATACTTGGACAGAGGGGTGGACATGGTATACTTGGACAGGGGTGGCGGTGGATGTGGTATACTTGGACTGAGGGGTGGCGGTGGACGTGGTATACTTGGACTGAGGGGTGGCGGTGGACGTGGTATACTTGGACAGAGGGGTGGTGGTGGACGTGGTTATACTTGGACTGAGGGGTGGCGGTGGACGTGGTATACTTGGACGGAGGGGTGGTTGTGGACGTGGTATACTTGGACTGAGGGGGGCGTGGCGTGGTATACTTGGACAGAGGGGTGGACGTGGTATACTTGGACAGAGGGGTGGCAGTGGACGTGGGTATACTTGGACAGAGGGGTGGCGGTGGACGTGGTATACTTGGACAGAGGGGTGGTGGTGGACGTGGTATACTTGGACAGAGGGGTGGCGGTGGACGTGGTATACTTGGACAGAGGGGTGGACGCGGTATACTTGGACAGAGGGGTGGACGCGGTATACTTGGACAGAGGGGGGGACGCGGTGTATACTTGGACAGAGGGGTGGACGTGGTATACTTGGACAGAGGGGTGACGTGGTATACTTGGACAGAGGGGTGGACGTGGTATACTTGGACAGAGGGGTGGACGTGGTATACTTGGACAGAGGGGTGGATGTGGTATACTTGGACAGAGTGGTGGACGTGGATGTGGTATACTTGGACAGAGGGGTGGACATGGTATACTTGGACAGAGGGGTGGCGGTGGATGTGGTATACTTGGACTGAGGGGGGTGGCGTGGACGTGGTATACTTGGACTGAGGGGTGGCGGTGGACGTGGTATACTTGGACAGAGGGGTGGTGGTGGACGTGGTATACTTGGACTGAGGGTGGTTGTGGACGTGGTATACTTGGACTGAGGGGTGGCGGTGGACGTGGTATACTTGGACAGAGGGGTGGACGTGGTATACTTGGACAGACAGGTGGCAGTGGACGTGGTATACTTGGACTGAGGGGTGGCGGTGGACGTGGTATACTTGGACAGAGGGGTGGTGGTGGACGTGGTATACTTGGACAGAGGGGTGGCGGTGGATGTGGTATACTTGGACAGAGGGGTGGTGGTGGACGTGGTATACTTGGACAGAGGGGTGGCGGTGGACGTGGTATACTTGGATTCTGCAAAAGTGTTTGACACAGTTCCCCACACACGGTTAACGTGTAAGGTAAAGTCTACAGGCTTGGAAAAATCCGTATGTAAATGGATAGAAAACTGGCTCATAGATGGTATTCAGAGAGTAGTGGTTAATGATTCATACTCTGAATGGTCTAGGGTTGTCAGTGGTGCACCCCAAGGTTCAGTGTTGGGACCCTTACTTTTTATTATATTTATAAACAATATAGGGTCTGGGATTATAAATCCCATTTCAGTCTTTGCAGATAACACCGAGCTGTGCAGTGGAATAACGTCCTTACAGGATGTCTCCAATTTACAAGCCGACCTCAATGCACTGTGTAATTGGGCAACTATGTGGCAAATGAGGTTCAATGTTGATAAATGTAAGGTTCTGCACTTGTGGGCTAAGAATATGCATGCATCATACATACTAGGGGGGTACAACTGGGGGAATCAATGGTGGAGAAGGATCTGGTAGATCACAAGCTTAATAATGGCATGCAATGCCAAGCTGCAGTTTCTAATAAAGATCAAAATCCTCTCTTGTATTAAAAGAGGTATAGACTCCAGAGAGAGATATCATATTACCCCGGTACAAATCATTAGTTAACCCTCATCTGGAATATGCAGTTCAGTTTTGGGCACCAATTCACAAAAAGAACATTGGGGAACTGGAGAAAGTACAGAGAAGGACAACCAAACTGATAAGAGGCATGGAGGAGCTCAGCTATGAGAAAAGATTGGAGGAACTGAATTTATTTCTCTCTTGAGAAGAGGAGATTAAGGGGGGATATGATCAACATGTATAAATACATCAGTGGTTCATATAGTGAACTTGGTGTAGAGCTATTCACCCTGAGGTCATCACAGAGGACAAGGGGGCACTCTTTACGTCTGGAGGAAAATAAATGTAATCTCCAAATACGGAAAGGTTTCTTTACAGTAAGAGAGAAAATTCCTGGCTCAACTTGCCAACCAGCCTACAAACAAACCGAATTAACCTGTCTAACAGTATGCGTTAAAAACAGGAATTTAGTTAGCACACAGTTATTACCTTTTGTACCACCAGCCCCTCCCTCTTAGATTGTAGGGCCCTCCTAACCCTCTTGTATTGAACTGTATCGTTGTGGTATTGTCCCCATTTATATTGTAAAGCGCTGAGCAAACTGTTGCCGCTATATAAATCCTGTATTATATTAATAATGAGTTTAGTTAGTGAAACTAAAGCAGCTGATTCTCACCTCAGCTCCAACAATATGATGTCCGCTAGGTTCCATACCACCATCATTTTATCCCCGGCTTTAACTCTTTTGTGTACCCTGACAGCAGAGTTTGTCCTGTCGCCTCTCCTGCTTTTCTATTCCCTCTCACTAATCTATCCTTGTTTGGCACAGCTTGTGTTATTGCTGTTGTTTTCTATCACTTTAGTAGCAGTAAATCCTAAAGGGTAACTCCCCTTTTGTTGGAAAAAAATTGCAAATAAAAATTTTATAGTATATACAATTGCCACTCAAGTCATATTGTAATTGAACGTTATTAAAAAGTACCTTTCCTTTTCAATCTGGAGCACTGTAATTTGCTGTAACATGCAATGTAATATGGCAACTTGGAGGTGTTCTGTACACAGATGGTGTACAGAATATTCTTTTTTGAGTCACCCTGGCAGCAGAGTTTGTCCTGTCACCTCTCCTGCTTTTCTGTTCTCTCTCTCCAATCTGTCCTTCCTTGGCACAGCCTGTGTTATTCCTGTTGCTTTCTATCCCTTTAGTAACAATAAATCTTAAAGGGTAACTCCACTTTTGTTGGGAAAAAATAGCAAATAAACAAAAATAATATAGCATATACAATTGTGACTCAAGGTATATTGTAATGAAATGTTATTAAAAAGTACCTTTCCTTTTCAATCTTCAGCACTGTAATTTGCGGTAACATGCAGTGCAATATGGCAACCTGGAGGTGTTCCGTACACAGATGGTGTATAGAATACCCCCCAGAAATGTATTTTCCTGCTTGTGGGGTTGGCTTACTGATTTTCCCAGAAGTCTGCACTAAGATACAAGTAAGATTTTAGGCATTCCCTGCAACAAAAATGTATTTTTGGTGAGATACTTCCAAAGGGAAAGCACATCTAAAGGGAAGCAGACCCTGCCACTTTCTTCATTAGAACCCTTCAAGTGCAGCAGCTGATTAATAATTATAAATCACTCCCATTCACATTCATTTTGCACATGGACACAGACAAACAAACTGCTATTTATTCAGATTAACAAGAAGTAAGAATCTGCAGCAAAGTTTCTTAAAATCCTTGCAATGTACATTGATCACCCGGAAGGGAATGTTTTTTTTTTTCCCCAACATAAGTGGAGTTACTTTTAACCACTAGCCTACACTTATAACCCCTTCTTGCCCAGGCCAATTTACAGCTTTCATTGCTGTCACACTTTGAATGACAATTGCGCGGTCATGCAACACTGTACCCATATGACATTTTTATCATTTTTTTGTGACAGTTGGAGCTTTATTTTGGTGGTATTTAATCACCACTGGGTTTTTTATTTTTTCTCCAACAAACCAAAAATTTTGTAAATAAGTGATTTTTCTTCTTCACTGATGTGCGCTAATGAAGCTGCAGTGATGGGAACTGATAGCCTGCACTAATGGACTCTGATAGGTGGCACTGATGGGCACTGATGAGGAGGCACTGGTAGGTGGCACTGATGGGCATTGACAGGCATCACTGATGGGCACTGAAAGGCAGCACTGATATATGGCACTGACTGGCACTGTTAGGTGGCACTGACTGGCACTGTTAGGCGGCACTGATAGGCAGCACTGATGGGCACTGATAGGCGGCACTGACTGGCACTGATAGGTGGCACTGATTGGCGGCAATGATAGGTGGCACTGACTGGCACTGATGAGTGACACTGAAAGGCAGCTCAGATGGGCACTGATATGTGGCATTGATGTGCACTGGTAGGCACTGATATGTGGCGTTGATGTGGCACTGATGGGCACTGGCAGGTGGCATAGATGAGCATTGAGAGCTGGCAATGATGGACACTGACAGGTCACACTGCTGGGGCTACACTGATCATCAGTGCCTTGATGATCAGTGTACATGTCCCCTCCGAGGAATGCCGATTACCGGCTCTCCTCTCCTCTCGAGGTGTCAGCGTGACAGCTTGTGAGGAGTGAAATGTCGATAACCGGCATTTCCCTGTTTACATGCGATCAGCTGTGATTGGACACAGCTGATCACATGACCGAGCCAACATCTTCGGTTCTTTCCGTGGATCGGTGATCCGCTGTGTCCAAGGGACACACCGTATCGCCGCTCGCCGCGCTGCACGCCCCCAGAGCCACGCATGCACGGTGAGAAATGGGAGGACGTCATATGACGTTCTCGCAGAACGAGAGAACCGCCTTGCGTCCATCATTGGACTATATGGCGGGCGGGAGGCGGTTAAAGATTAATCGGCACATTGCAAAGAATACAGGACAACTGAGTGTGTCCAGAGCAGGATGAGATTGTATTACTGGATTTTAAAACGGTATATGCAGTTATTTTTAATGTTTTACATAGCTGTTTCTGCAAAAGGGGCCAGCCTGAAGTGATCTATCAGGATTTTCTGACTAAAGTTCCACTTTAAAATGTATGGGAACTTAAAAAAAAAAAAGAGCAGAACTACACTTCCCTCCCCTCTTTTGATGCATGTCTGTAAGTTGCCTTGGTAGTGTTGTCTTCATCTGATCTTCTTCTCAGTTTGGGATCTTCAGCCATCTTGATTGGCCGTGGCAAGATTTTGTAAGCTGTTATGCATACATGGGAGTTCATTCACTCCGACATACTCCAAAATTGTACACTACACTGTGCATGTCAGGAATGGACTGGCCAGCAATAGTGGGACTCACCTGCCTTATGAGCTGCAGTACCAGGGCTGGCCAGCGGGTGCTCCCAGCAATCAGAGACTCAACCTTGCAGCCAGTCAAACACCTGGAACTAATTATACTGGTGTATTTAAGGGACATTCAGACCTGCAGACTCTGCCTTGGTGTGTGTGCTTTTCCTGGGTCCTGTATCTTGTAAACCTGCGTTCCTGGTCCTGTTCCTGTTCCTGTCTTGTTGCTGACCCTGCTTGATTCTGACCTCTGCTGACTTCTCCTGTTCTGATCCCTGGCCATCCCTCTGCCTGACCCTCTGTACCACGCTGCCCGCTACCTGCTGAACCTGGCCTGTGACCCCGACCATTCTCCGCTTGCTCCCCCTGTACCTACCTGCCCGATTGATATTAACCCGGCCTGCCTGATGACGCTTGCATTGTATGTACTGTTATCTGTGGGTGGTTGGTTTGGTTTGTTTGCACTGTGTTATGTTTTAGTATTGCACTGCGTTTATGTTAGTATTGTTAGTGTTAATAAATTATATTGTTTATAACATATCTGAAGTCTGCGTTTCCCTGCGTCAGTCACATACCTCTGGTCACACCCGGGAGCCCTGACATTGGCCCTGAGGCCAATCCTGACCAGAAGTGGCTGCACAGGGAAGCCATCTTGGTTTGTTGATGGGAAGGATGGATCTGGATGAGGTTGCGTATTTATATCTGCTAGTGTTTGATGACAGAGAGTATGCTTATCAAACTCTGAAGGAGTATCCCCGGGATGAACTGCTAGAATGTATACGGCTCGCTCATGTTCTAGTAGATCAGGGCACAGAATTCTCTGAGGTGCAGCCATTGATTCAGGTTTGTGCGGAGTTGGTTTCATCTGGTACCCCCGAATGCAGGGATGAATTTTTGCCGCCATTTAGTGCTGACCAGGTAGAGTCCCTGGTGTGGTTATTAGAGGATGATGTGGATTGCTTCTTGGAGCATTATGCTGCATGTTCACCACAGACACTAAGAGATTGTATAAACGCAGTGCAGTCTTTAGTCAGACAGGCTTTGTGTAAGCTCAGCTTTGTTCAACCCATACTGCAGACATGGACAGATTTGTTGCACCCAGCCTCAGTCAGCCTACAAAAACCCAGTCCTGCTTCTAATCTATTCCTCAAAGCTCTATTCCTGCATTCCCAACAGCTCCTCCTGCCCTGCTATCTACCGCATGTCAGTACCCTGTTCCCACTCGCTGCACCTATCCTGCCTTTAACCCTGTAAAAAAGCCCTCTGTAGCAACTGCTCCCTCCCCTGTTCCATCCTCCAGCTCTTCTCTGTCTCCAGCTGCTCCATTCGTTTGCAGACCTGCGTTTACTTGCAGTGCTCCAGTAGTTAAAACCAGAAAAAAAAAAAAAGCGAAAATTCTTTCCAACCAGTACCATCCTGCCAGTATCCAAACCGGTGAGCCTGCCTTCCGTGACTCAGCCTGAAGCCTCTACTCAGCCTGAATCCTCTCCTCTCGGCCTGATGCCTGTACTCAGCCTGATGCCTGTACGCAGCCTGATCCCTCTATTCAGCCCTGAAGCCTCTACTCAGCCTGAAGCCTCTACTCGGCCTGATGCCTCTACTCGGCCTGATGCCTCTACTCAGCCTGATCCTGATGCCTCTACTCGGCCGGATGCCTGCATTCAGCCTGATGCCTCTACCCAGCATGATGAACTGTTCCAGCCTGACGATCCTATTAGGCCAGTTGACTCGATGCCCACTGTTGATCCAGATGATCCGGTACCTGATCCCGGTGCCCGCTGTCGAGCCAGACAATCCGGTACCTGATGACCCGGTGCCCGCTGTCATGCCAGTTGACTCAGAGCCTGCTGTCGTGCCTGGTGACTCGGTGCCCACTGCCTTGCCAGATGACGCGGTGCCCGCTGGCGAGCTAAATGGCCTGGTGACCCAGTGCCCGCTGTCATGCCTGGTGACTCGATGCCCGCTGTCGAGCCAGACGATCCAATGCCTGGTGACCCGGTGCCCACTGCCTTGCCAGATGACGCGGTGCCCGCTGGCAAGCCAAATGACCTGATGCCTGGTGACCCAGTGCCCGCTGTCATACCTGGTGACCCGATGCCCGCTGTCGAGCCAGACAATCCGGTACCTGATGACCCGGTGCCCGCTGTCGTGCCAATTGAGTCAGAGCCCACTGTCGTGCCTGGTGATTCGGTGCCCGCAGCCTTGCCAGACGACTCGGTGCCCGCAGCCTTGCCAGACGACTCGGTGCCCGCAGCCTTGCCAGACGACGACTCGGTGCCCACTGTTCCGCCAGTTAACTCGATGCCCGCTGTTCCGCCAGTTGACTCGGTGCCCGCAGTCTTGCCAGACGACTCGGTGCCCGCTGTTCCGCCAGTTGACTCGGTGCCCGCAGCCTTGCCAGACGACTCGGTGCCCGCAGCCTTGCCAGACGACTCGGTGCCCGCAGCCTTGCCAGACGACTCGGTGCCCGCAGCCTTGCCAGACGACTCGGTGCCCGCAGCCTTTGCCAGACGACTCGGTGCCCGCAGCCTTGCCAGACGACTCGGTGCCCGCAGCCTTGCCAGACGACTCGACGACTCGAAGCCTGCTGTTCCGCCAGTTGACTCGATGCCCGCTGTTCCGCCAGTTGACTCGGTGCCCGCAGTCTTGCCAGACGACTCGGTGCCCGCTGTTTGCTGCCAGTTGACTCGGTGCCCGCAGTCTTGCCAGACGACTCGGTGCCCGCAGTCTTGCCAGACGACGACTCGGTGCCCGCAGTCTTGCCAGACGACTCGATGCCCGTTGTTCTGCCAGTTGACTCGGTGCCCGCAGTCTTGCCAGACGACTCGGTGTCCGCAGTCTTGCCAGACGACTCGGTGCCCGCCCAGTGAGTCCTTGCCAGACGACTCGGTGCCCGCTGTTCCGCCAGTTGACTCGATGCCCGCTGTTCCGCCAGGCGACTCGGTGCCCGCAGTCTTGCCAGACGACTCGGTGCCCGCAGTCTTGCCAGACGACTCGGTGCCCGCAGTCTTGCCAGACGACTCGGTGCCCGCAGTCTTGCCAGACGACTCGGTGCCCGCAGTCTTGCCAGACGACTCGATGCCCGCTGTTCCGCCAGTTGACTCGGTGCCCGCAGTCTTGCCAGACGACTCGGTGCCCGCTGTTCCGCCAGTTGACTCCGTGCCCGCTGTTCCGCCAGTTGACTCGGTGCCCGCAGTCTTGCCAGACGACTTGGTGCCCGCAGTCTTGCCAGACGACTCGGTGCCCACTGTCGTGCCTGGTGACTCGGTGACCGCTGCTCCGCCCGGGGGGCCGAGACCTGTCGCTCCCGCTTGGGGGTCCCGGCGCCCGCCGCTCCGCCTGGGGGTCCGGCGCCCGCCGCCGCCTGGGGGTCCGGCGCCCGCCGCTCCGCCTGGGGGTCCGGCGCCCGCCGCTCCGCCTGGGGGTCCGGCGCCCGCCGCTCCGCCTGGGGGCCTGAGACCTGTCGCTCCGCCTGGGGGCCTGGGGGCCTGAGACCTGTCGCTCCGCCTGGGGGGGCTGAGACCTGTCGCTCCCGCCTGGGGGCCTGAGACCTGTCGCTCCGCCTGGGGGCCTGAGACCTGTCGCTCCGCCTGGGGGCCTGAGACCTGTCGCTCCGCCTGGGGGCCCGGCGCCCGCCGCTCCGCCTGGGGGCCTGAGACCTGTCGCTCCGCCTGGGGGTCCGGCGCCCGCCGCTCCGCCTGGGGGTCCGGCGCCCGCCGCTCCGCCTGGGGGTCCGGCGCCCCTGCCGCTCCGCCTGGGGGCCTGAGACCTGTCGCTCCGCCTGGGGGGCCTGATACCTGTCGCTCCGCCTGGGGGCCTGAGACCTGTCGCTCCGCCTGGGGGCCTGATACCTGTCGCTCCGCCTGGGGGCCTGAGACCTGTCGCTCCGCCTGGGGGCCTGAGACCTGTCGCTCCGCCTGGGGGCCCGGCGCCCGCCGCTCCGCCTGGGGGCCTGAGACCTGTCGCTCCCGCCTGGGGGTCCGGCGCCCCGCCGCTCCGCCTGGGGGTCCGGCGCCCGCCGCCCGCTCCGCCTGGGGGCCTGAGACCTGTCGCTCCGCCTGGGGCCTGAGACCTGTCGCTCCGCCTGGGGGCCTGATACCTGTCGCTCCGCCTGGGGGCCTGAGACCTGTCGCTCCGCCTGGGGGGGGCCTGAGACCTGTCGCTCCGCCTGGGGGCCTGAGACCTGTCGCTCCGCCCTGGGGGCCTGAGACCTGTCGCTCCGCCTGGGGGCCTGAGACCTGTCGCTCCGCCTGGGGGCCCGGCGCCCGCCGCTCTGCCTGGGGGCCTGAGACCTGTCGCTCCGCCTGGGGGCCCGGCGCCCGCCGCTCCGCCTGGGGGGGTCCGGCGCCCGCCGCTCCACCTGGGGGTCCGGCGCCCGGTGGCCCGGCACCCCGCCGCCCCCGCCCGGTGGCCCCGGCGCCCGCCCGCCGCCCCGCCCGGTGGCCCGGTGCCCGCCGCACCGCCCGGTGGCCCCTGGTGCCTACTGCTTCGCCTTGTAATCCGATGTGCCTCTGCCCGGAGTCCAGCCCGATGTGCCTCTGCCCGGAGTCCAGCCCGATGTGCCTCTGCCCGGAGTCCAGCCCGATGTGCCTCTGCCCGGAGTCCAGCCCGATGTGCCTCTGCCCGGAGTCCAGCCCGATGTGCCTCTGCCCGGAGTCCAGCCCGATGTGCCTCTGCCCGGAGTCCAGCCCGATGTGCCTCTGCCCGGAGTCCAGCCCGATGTGCCTCTGCCCGGTGTGCCTCTGCCCGGAGTCCTGCCCGGTGTGCCGCTGCCCGGAGTCCTGCCCGGTGTGCCAGTCTTTGATATCCCGCCAGTTACCAGACCCGGGCGGTGGAACATTTTGCCCAGCTAGGACTGTTTGGAGCGTCCTGAGGCCACTCCTTGAGGGGGGGGTACTGTCAGGAATGGACTGGCCAGCAATAGTGGGACTCACCTGCCTTATGAGCTGCAGTACCAGGGCTGGCCAGCGGGTGCTCCCAGCAATCAGAGACTCAACCTTGCAGCCAGTCAAACACCTGGAACTAATTATACTGGTGTATTTAAGGGACATTCAGACCTGCAGACTCTGCCTTGGTGTGTGCTTTTCCTGGGCCCTGTATCTTGTAAACCTGCGTTCCTGTTCCTGTTCCTGTTCCTGTCTTGTTGCTGACCCTGCTTGATTCTGACTTCTCCTGTTCTGATCCCTGGCTTGTGACCCTGACCATCCCTCTGCCTGACCCTCTGTACCACCCTCTGTACCCTCTGTCCCATGCATACATGGGAGTTCATTCACTCCGACATACTCCAAAATTGTACACTACACTGTGCATGTCAGGAATGGACTGGCCAGCAATAGTGGGACTCACCTGTATGAGCTGCAGTACCAGGGCTGGCCAGCGGGTGCTCCCAGCAATCAGAGACTCAACCTTGCAGCCAGTCAAACACCTGGAACTAATTATACTGGTGTATTTAAGGGACATTCAGACCTGCAGACTCTGCCTTGGTGTGTGCTTTTCCTGGGTCCTGTATCTTGTAAACCTGCGTTCCTGTTCCTGTTCCTGTTCCTGTCTTGTTGCTGACCCTGCTTGATTCTGACCTCTGCTGACTTCTCCTGTTCTGATCCCTGGCTTGTGACCCTGACCATCCCTCTGCCTGACCCTCTGTACCACGCTGCCCGCTACCTGCTGAACCTGGCCTGTGACCCCGACCATTCTCCGCTTGCTCCCCCTGTACCTACCTGCCCGATTGATATTAACCCGGCCTGCCTGATGACGCTTGCATTGTATGTACTGTTATCTGTGGGTGGTTGGTTTGGTTTGTTTGCACTGTGTTATGTTTTAGTATTGCACTGCGTTTATGTTTAGTATTGTTAGTGTTAATAAATTATATTGTTTATAACATATCTGAAGTCTGCGTTTCCCTGCGTCAGTCACATACCTCTGGTCACACCCGGGAGCCCTGACAGTGCATGTGAACATGCAGGTTAAAAGAAGCCTTTATTGCAGAAGAGACATAGGGATTGAATTACTAAAAGCAAATAGACTATGCACTTTGCAAGTGCAGTTGCACTTATTTTCCTTAGTAAATGTAAATGTCGTACAGCTTCACTTTGTAAAAAATACTCAATCGGGTGCAAGGAAAAAAAAAACATTTTTGCTTGCACATGACTGGATAATGGAAATCGGCAGAGCTTTACCCCATTTACTGAGCTCTGGGGAAAATGAGTGCAACCGCACTTGCAAAGTGCACAGTCTAGTTGTCTTTACAAAATCCACCCCATGGTATGTCTCTTCTGCAATAGAAATATCTACATATCTCCTTGTTTGTAAGCTCTTATGAGCAGGGCCCTCTGTTTCCTCTTGTACCAAATTGTATTGTAACTGTTATGTATACCTTCATTTTGAAAAGCGCTGCGCAAATTGTTGGCGCTTTATAATAATAATAATAATAATAATAATAATAAATGTCTGCTTTAAATTCATTGTTAACTCCTTTTTCATCTTAAAGTGGTTCTAAAGGCAGAAGATTTTTTACCTTATTGCATTCTATGCATTTAGGTAAAAAAAACCTTCTGGGTGCAGCTCCCCCCTCAACCCCCCCAATACTTCCCTGAGCCCTATCTCGATCCAGAGATGTGCATGAGAGCCCCGGATCTCCTAATGCTCTCTTTCATTGCCTCACACAGCAGTGGGAGCCATTGGCTCCTTCTGCTGTTAATCGAAGCCAGTGAGCCAATGAGGATTGCGGCTCAGGAGCAAGCCTGCTCGAGTGCCCCCATAGCAAGAGGCTTGTTCTTGGGGGCGCTTGGTAGGAGGGAGGAGCCAGGAGCGCTGGCTGGGGACCCAATATGAAGAGGATCAGGGCTGCTTTGTGCAAAACCATTACACAGAGCAGGTATGATATGTTTGTTATATTTTTTTAATTACAACCTTTAGAATCACTTAATGTGTGTATCTAATGTGGCTGCCAAAAACTGAACCTCTAACTTGCCAGTCTCCAGAGTTCTGCCCACTTTCCTCTTCTTTACTGACCATGCTACTTGGGGTTTTAGACCTGAGGTAGCAGTGACAGACATGTTCTGTAAGCTTTCTTAATGAACAGCAGGACGAGGGTTAAGGACATGGATAAGGGATAATATTTGGGAAAAATGGAAGGGGGGTGTTGGCACGTTGGCATTTCTTTGTTTTGTATTTTATTTTCATATTATCATTGTCATCCAATAATACTACAGTGGTGTGATTGTATAGAATATAACTATTGGGCTGACAGCCTCTGCACAACAAAGGGCCTCTACAGTCACCTTGGGTTGTAATAGGTACAAGTCAATGTGAAATTGAAGGAGCTCCATATCATAATATTCAAGTCCAAGTTTATTCTAATGAGAAATTGTTTGTAAAGCTTGTAAGGGTTGATGGAACTTTGTGGTTAGGACAAGGACAATAATCACATTCGCACTGGCCACATACTGCAGAACAGACCAATCTCCTACTCTTAGCACGGTTACTACAGAACTGTTATATCACATGACCGTTTTGCATTAATCTCATAAAAAGGTATTTGTACACAAATGAATAAAACAAACAGTTTAAGCTCATTTTAAAGCATGCAGTAGAAATGTTCTAGTTAATTGGCAATGACTTCACCTATACTTTAAAGTGGTTGTAAACCTCAGACATGAAATATGAACAAAGCATATCCCTTTATAATGTGTACTTGTCTCCATCCAGAGCACTAAGTATAATTACTGTCTGCTGCCTCCTTCCTCTACTATCTGCATGAGTCACTTCTGACAAGTTTTCCTGACACCAAGAGAAAAATGGTGACGGGAGGGCATAGTATGTGACTGATAACCTCAGCCCTGTTCCTGTGTATTGTGTGGAGGGGGATGTGTCCTTTCCCTCCAATTTGCTCCCAGAGCTCTTCTTACTGAGTGTAACTTCAGCTCTCCGCCCCCTGCTTTTCAGAGCTGAAAGATTCTGTTTAAATTCTGTACTTTGAATGGATGTAGGGGAAAGACAGCTGTAGATAAACAGATACAACCTATGTAGGAGGATTTGTTTCAACCCTGTGTATTACCTAAGGCCAGTCACTTCACTAGGTATATGTATGGGGTTACAACCACTTTAAAGCTTTGTGAATTGAGCCCAGTGTATTTGTATTTTATTTCATTGTTTTGTTTTGTTGCAGATGGCAACGATTGACAGGGAGGTAACTGCCCGTGTTGTCCTCCAACAGTGTTTACATGCTAAGCTGCAGGTTAAACCTCCAGATGAAGACTCTGAGGCCGAATGGACAGAGGTAAGAAACCTGTGTACATATTAAAGCCCAACTCTAATGTCTTAGTTTTAGAGCATTGACGAGTTATAGCCTCTGTTGGGTTTTTTATTGTCATCTCTGTCCCTGCTTGGGAGATTTCCCCTCATTTCCTGTCAGGGTAACAAGTGATGAGAGCGTTGTTCTGTAATGAAGACAAAGACAAAAACACATTTTAGTAGATATGAGTTTGGACACCTGATAATGTCATTGATGTCTGCACCTGTTCCTTTGACCAACACATTTCTCACTTTTTGTGCAGGGGTCAAAAGGGAAGGGAAGAGAGGGGAAATGTTTCCAAATGGGTCATGGAATGAAATAAAATCCTGAAATAGAAGTTTTCAGAAAAAAATTGTATGGGGAACCCACCACCAGCTACAGAATCACTCCTTCCTACAAACCTGTCTATAATATATATTTTACAAGATTTTATTTTACAATTGATGATGATTGCTGATGCCAAGTTAACTCCAATAAAAAAAAAACGACAGAGGTACTTGAATCAGTAAGTTAGAATACTAAAGTTGCTGGGTTTTTTTTTTATATGTCTTGGTTTTCATAATACCTAGCAGGGGGGTGATGCATTAACTTCCTGCTGATTGCAAAAGTGAAAGAACACACCCCTACAACACACCCTTTAGCTATGGATGTTCCAGCAAGGGAGATGGCCACTGGACAGTGTAAACTTTAGCTATGCAGTTTGCCCATCAGCTGCTTGATTACATGCTATTATACCTGATTATGGTACAGCAATCTAGCATCTGATGGCGTAAAGAAAATGAATACAGGTGGGGATCTCTGAAATGATTCTAAAGTATTTATGAGTACTAAATATACAAAGAATTTTAAAGAATCAGCATAGAATCACTGAGCACTGAAACATACATCGTTACATAGTTAATCTGGCTGAAAAAAAAAAGACAAAAGTCCTTTCAGTTCAGCCATTTAAAAAATAAAAAAAAAAAGTTATCCTACACCCACAGTTTATCCAGAGGAAGGCAAAAAACCCAACAAAGAATGACCAAATTTGCTCCCGCAGGGGAAAAAATGCTTCCCTGATCCCCTGAGAGGCAATCAGATATTCCCTGGATCAACTTTACCTATAAATGTTAGTATCCAGTTATATTCTGTGTATCCAAGAAAGAATCCAGGACTTTTTTAAAGGAATCCACTGAGCTGGCCAGAACCAACTCTTGAGGGAGTCTATTCCACATTTTCACAGCTCTCACTGTGAAGAAACCTTTCCATGTTTGGAGATTACATTTCTTTTCCTCCAGACGTAAAGAGCGCCCCCTTGTCCTCTGTGATGACCTCAGGGTGAATAGCTCTACACCGAGTTCACTATATGAACCACTGATGTATTTATACATATTGATCATATCCCCCCTTAATCTCCTCTTTAGAGAGAATAAATTCAGTTCCTCTAATCTTTCCTCATAGCTGATCTCCTCCATGCCTCTTATCAGTTTGGTTGCCCTTCTCTGTATTTTCTCCATTTCCCCAATGTTCTTTTTGTGAATTTGTGCCCAAAACTGAACTGCAATATTCCAGATGAGGTGTTACTAATGATTTGTACCGGGGTAATATGATATCTCTCTCTCTGGAGTCTATACCCCTTTTAATACTAGAGAGGATTTTGCTTGCTTTAGAAACCGCACCTTGGCATTGCATGCCATTATTAAGCTTGTGATCTACCAGAACTCCCAGATCCTTCTCCACCATTGATTCCCCCAGTTGTACCCCCCCCAGTATGTATGATTCATGCATATTCTTAGCCCCCAAGTGCAGAACCTTACATTTATCAACATTAAACCTCATTTGCCACATAGTTGCCCAATTAAACAGTGCATTGAGGTCGGCTTGTAAGTTGGAGACATCCTGTAAGGACGTTATTCCACTGCACAGCTCGGTGTTATCTGCAAAGACTGAAATGGGATTTTTAATTCCAGACCCTATATTGCTTATAAATATATTAAAAAGTAAGGGTACCAACACTGAACCTTGGGGTACACCACTGACAACCCTAGACCGTTCAGAGTATGAATCATTAACCACTACTCTCTGAATACCATTTTTTAGCCAGTTTTCTATCCATTTACATACAGATTTTTCCAAGCCTACTTTATTCACCTTTATTCTGTTTAAATATTTTTGGATCATATCAATTGTGAGCCATTGTGGATCATCTGGAGCTGTGCCAATACCATACCCATTATTGATAAGAGCTCCCCCATGCTCCTTAGTATACACAGAACTGAAGAAAGTATTTAATAAATTTGCCTTCTCTTTGTCCCCAGTCACCCACTCTAGATTATTTTGTAAAGGGCCTACATGCTCGGACCTTTTTACTATTAATATATTTAAAGAATTTTTTGGGGTTGGTCCTGCTATCTTTTGCAGTCTGTCATACTTTTTAAATTTTTGCGGTCTTTATTACTTTATAACTTGAAACATGTAATTTTTAGTTTTTTTTCACTTTATTTACAGTTTAAAACTTATTTGCATAGTTCACAACTGCACAGCAGTAGAAAGTCCAGTTGCGTTAGCTACTGCAGAACGTCTTGTATGACGGGGCTAATTAATGTGTGTGTATGTTGTGTATGTGTAGCTGCTTTTAGTTTATGGTCTGGTTCAAACCTATTCAGTTTACTCTTGATCCATTTTTGCAATGCTTTTTGCATTTTGTGTTCCGTTTTTGGACATGAGCTTTGCTGTGTTTTTACTGCATTTTGCATTTTTTCAGCTTTTTTTTTGTTTTTGTTTTTGTTGAAGGGGAAATGTTTTTGTTGCTGGGCAGAATAAAAACGCTGCAAAAATGCACTACATGAGTTTAAGCAGCGTCTCCATTGAACCCTGTTGTAGCAAAGACGCTGCTACACATCGGCTGAAAAACGCATAAATATGAACATGTCCAATAGGAAACCACGTTAAATGGTCTGTGGTAACCTGTGGTCGTTAAATGGTAATGTGTTTCTGCAAAAAAGCAAAAAAAAAAAAAAAAAAAACATATTGGTGTGAACCAGGCCTACTATAATCACTTCAGAGTTTGTTTATTAAACTTGTAGGAAATAAATACAACTGTTACTGATAATAGCAAAGGATCTGAGCTTCTTGTGAATTAAAGTAGATAAGAAACCCTAATTGTTTGCTAAAAAGCAGTGTACCATAAACTATTACCATTTTTTTTACTAATGCTGTTTTCACCATCATTTTAGCATTACAGTGCTGCTGATCTCCTGTGGCCTCTTTGCAGCTACTTAGTCTGTATATGCACGCACTCCAGCAATAGCTGCATGGCATTTCCCAGGGCCGAGTTTCTGATTGAGGAACACTGAACATCAACATGGCTGCTTATAGTCTGCACTGAAAGTGGCTGTGACAGGGTGACAATGTAGGAGAGCATTTGAAAAAAATGGACAGAGCATTGTCATCCTATGATATGAAGTGCATGAGCAAAGATCTTCAAGCAGGATCACAGGATATTCTTTTAAAGCTGCAGATTTTGAAAAAGTTTAAAATTACTTTTGTTTTTAAGGTGGAACTGAACACACAAAAAAAATTGCCAACAGACAGGCTCTTTATTGCAGAAGAGACATGCCAGTGTCATGTCTCTACTGCAATAAAATAAACATACCTCAAAATTCAAAGAAGTGCAGCGCTTAAGATAAGTTCCATCAATAAATATATAAAAGTTCAACGAATAGCAATAGACCCTTATAAGGCAGGTACCTCGGTACTTCAAATGCTGGTATAAACAGCCGACCAAAATAGCAGAAATGCGCACTCACCGGAAGCGCATATTAACAGAGCATGTAGTAATAAATGATAGGTGGTGGGCTGCCTCTCTGATCATCAAGCCTTGGAGAGTAGTGAGAATCATGTCTCTACTGCAATAAAATAAACATACCTGTCCGAGCCCTCTGCAGAATGTACATAGAGCTGTGCATACGCAGCTCGGTTTATGTTTCTGGCATAGTGCCAGTTTGCCAAGATGAATGATGTCATCCTGCACCAGCCAATCAAGACAGCTGAAAACTGACACCCGGAAAAAATGTGGCGAGGGACCTTGCAGGCGCCGGACCGTTGGAGCATAGATGAGTATTTGTACTTTTAATTCCACTTTAATGAGAGCAGACTGCATAGCTAAATATTAGTTGAATGGCCTCTACTTTTATCTTTGCAGATACAAAGGGGTATGGTAATCTATCTGTGCTTTTTTAAAGGATCAACTAAAGATGTCATTCCAAAAATGGGTACGTAAACCTGGAATTGTTTTATTTAGCAGCAAATAAATAAAGACATTTTTTGTTGACTCATTTTAGTTTCCGTATGGTTCTAAAGGAACTTTTTCCATGTTTCTATTTCTGTTTGTGTCCCTGCTGGGAATATTCACATTTTCAGTTAGCTCGAGTCACTGTTGTCACAAGGACCGAAAGTGAGAGAATATCTAAAAATTTTGAGTTGCCATTGGAACAGAAACAAAGAGGAAAGCTTCCAGTGGGGACACTCATTACAGTCACTTGTTGATATCTCCTGGACAGGAATTGAAGGGGAAATCTTCCCAATGTGATTTAGATAATAAGAGATTGAAAAATTTTAATTAATCCCTACGCTATCTAAAACAAAAAATGGCCATACATACACTTTAATGTACAGTGGGGATCGAAAGTTTGGGCACCCCAGCTAAAAATTTGTATTAATGTGCATAAAGAAGCCAAGGAAAGATGGAAAAATCTCCAAAAGGCATCAAATTACAGATTAGACATTCTTATAATATGTCAACAAAAGTTAGATTTTATTTCCATCATTTACACTTTCAAAATAACAGAAAACAAAAAAATGGCGTCTGCAAAAGTTTGGGCACCCTGCAGAATTTATAGCATGCACTGCCCCCTTTGCGAAGCTGAGACCTGCCAGTGTCATGGATTGTTCTCATTCATCGTCTGAGAAGACCAGGTTATGTCAATCTCAAAGGTTTTAAATGCCCAGACTCATCTGACCTTGCCCCAACAATCCGCACCATGGGTTCTTCTAAGCAGTTGTCTAGAAAACTGAAACTTAAAATAGTTGACGCTCACAAAGCTGGAGAAGGCTATAAGAAGATAGCAAAGCGTTTTCAGATGTCAATATCCTCTGTTCGGAATGTAATTAAGAAATGGCAGTCATCAGGAACAGTGGAAGTTAAAGCAAGATCTGGAAGAACAAGAAAAATATCAGACAGAACAGCTCGCAGGATTGTGAGAAAAACAATTCAAAACCCACATTTGACTGCACGATCCCTCCAGAAAGATCTGGCAGACACTCGAGTTGTGGTACACTATTCCACTATAAAGAGATACTTGTACAAATATGGTCTTCATGGAAGAGTCATCAGAAGAAAACCTCTTCTACGTCCTCACCACAAAAATCATCGTTTGAACTTTGCAAATGAACATATAGTTAAGCCTGATGCATTTTGGAAACAAGTTCTGTGGACCGATGAGGTTAAAATTGAACTTTTTGGCTGGAATGAGCAACGGTACGTTTGGAGAAGAAGGGGCACAGAATTTAATGAAAAGAACCTCTGTCCAACTGTTAAGCATGGGGTTGGATCAATCATTCTTTGGGGTTGTGTTGCAGCCAGTGGCACAGGGAACATCTCACGAGTAGAAGGAAAAATGGATTCAATAAAATTTCAGCAAATTTTGGATGGTAACTTGATGCCATCTGTGAAAAAGCTGAAGTTAAAGAGAGGATGGCTTCTACAAATGGATAATGATCCTAAACACACCTCGAAATCCACGGGGGATTACACCAAGAGGCATAAACTGAAGGTTTTGCCATGGCCTTCACAATCTCCTGACCTCAACATAATTGAAAATCTATGGATAGACCTTAAAAGAGCAGTGCGTGACAGACAGCCCAGAAATCTCAAAGAACTGGAAGACTTTTGTAAGGAAGAATGGGCAAAGATACCTCAAACAAGAATTGAAAGACTCTTGGCTGGCTACAAAAAGCGTTTATAAGCTGTGATACTTGCCAAAGGGGGCAGTACAAGATATTAACTCTGCAGGGTGCCCAAACTTTTGCAGACAACATTTGTTTGTTTTCTGTTATTTTGAAAGTGTAAATGATGGAAATAAAATCTAACTTTTGTTGACATATTATAAGAATGTCTAATCTGTAATTTGATGCCTTTTGGAGATTTTTCCATCTTTCCTTGGCTTCTTTATGCACATTAATACAAATTTTTAGCTGGGGTGCCCAAACTTTCGATCCCCACTGTATATGGGGCAGCTGCAGATTCTAACAAAGTTTGTTGAGGTTGCAAAACTATGTCTGGATGCTGTAAACCTCCCCCACTAAGCCAATGCTGGGAGCGTGTACGGAGCCTCCATTCCTGCAACCATTCGTGTTCAGGGACTGGTGGCTAGCTTAGATGCCAAAGGCATTCGGATCAGTCCAGCACATCTATGGCAACCCTTAGTTTGCTGCTATAAGAGTCAGAATAGGTTATAGCAGGATGCTTTCAGGTCACTGGGCAGTAACTGAGCTCAGCTTCCATACAGCCTCATATACCAAGTCAGTCCTACTCCATCGCTAGCATGTTTGGTTAAACTAATTATAACAATTTTCCTTTTTGGTTGTAGATAGCCTGCTTGTGTGCAGCTCTTTTTAGAGTGGTTGTAAACCCTTACCTACCCAGTGAAATGATTGGCCTCATGTGATAAACCGAGACAAAAGAAATCCTCCATAAGTTGTACCTGTTTATCTGTAGTTTCTTTTCTTTGCATCCATTCAAAATGCAGAATTTACCCAGGATTTCTCAGCTCTAAAAAACAGGGGGTGGGAAACTGAAGTTACACTCAATGAGGAGAGCACTAAGAGCTGATTGGAGGGAAGGGACACACCCACTTTCATACAGCACACAGGAACAGAGCTGAGACTGTCAATCTACTGGAGCTCCCTCCCCTGTCACCATTTTTTTCTCTTGGTGTCAGAAAAAGTTGTCAGAAGTGGTTCATGTTGATAGCAGAGGAATGAAGCAGCAGACAGAAATGGCACCTAGTGCCCTGGATAGAGACAAGTACACACTAAATTGTTCATATTTCATGTCTGAGGTTTACAACCACTTTGGTTAAAGAGAACTTGTCTAATAGCAAATCACTTGCGTAATTAGGCTCTGATGGAAGCATTTACTGATTGATAGTGCATGTTAATTTTGAGAGAGTGAAAAGACACCCGCTAATACATAGTATGGTACATGAGTTTGGGAATAGGTGCTTCCATCAGTGTCTTCAACTTTAGTCCTAATAAAAAGCTGCACATGCAGGACGCAGGTGTGGGACTGCTGAGTGTGTTGTAGCATAATCAATGCTCATTCCAATTGGGAAAGCCATGAGCACCCAGTTGAGCTCTGCATTTTATTGAACTGGTGATTGTACAACTTGGAAAACTGCATCAGTTTACTATCTCTTTACTTCATTAACTTATTTTTAGGATTTTATTGTCTACTTATCTTTCGATGGTTAGCAGCATTACCCACTGTGGGAAAAAATGTATAATTAAAACCCTGCTGTGGGGACTAAATGCCTTGCTTCCTTCCAGTCTAAGTGGGACTGTAGTATCTGAATGCTGCACTGCCTAGTTAGATATTCATCAATACATTAGGATGCCTTACATGTATAGTTACATAGTTAGTCTGGCTGAAAAAAGACAAAAGTCCATCCAGTTCAACCATTAAAAAAATAAAAATTATAATCCTACACCCTCAGTTGATCCAGAGGAAGGCAAAAAAACCCAGCAAAGCACGATCCAATTTGCTCCTGCAGAAAAACAAATTACTTCCTGATCCCCCAAGAAGCAATAGGATATTCCCTGGATCAACTTTACCTATAAACATTAGTATCCAGTTATATTCTGTGTATCTAAGAAAGAATCCAGCAATCCACTGAGCTGGTCAGAACCAACTCTTGAGGGAGTCTATTCTACATTCTCACAGCTCTCACTGTGAAGAAACCTTTCCGTATTTGGAAATTAAATTTCATTTCCTCCAGATGTAAAAAGTGCCCCCTTGTCCTCTGTGATGACCTCAGGGTCATTAACTCTACACCGAGTTCACTATATGAACCACTGATGTATTTATACATGTTGATCATATCCTCCCTTAATCTCCTCTTCTCAAGAGAGAATAAATTCGGTTCCTTTAATCTTTCCTCATAGCTGAGCTCCTCCATGTAGTGTCATCATGTGTAAAAAGTATGATGTCTGTTATCTGTTGCTGTCCTAAGTTAATATGGTTTTGCATTTTGCTGTATGTATGCTGGGTTTTTTGTGCGACACCATGGGTTATAAATCGTCTAGTGCAGGGGTGGGCAACTGTGGCTTTCCAGCTGTTGTAGAACTACAAGTTCCATGAGGCATTGAAAAACTGACAGTTACAAGCAGGACTCCCAAAGGCAGAGGCATGATGGGACTTGTAGTTCACCAAGAGCTGGAGGGCCACAGTTGCCCACCCCTGGTCTATGGCCAATAGGCTCATAAGAAATGCCTCAAACTCTGCAGTGTGGTGTTCCCACAAATTGCTTAGGGTGACATTTTTGCAGTTTGTCATTTCCTTTAGACAAAGTTGTCTATTTTTATGGAGGGTTAAGGGGTATTTATGTGTATCCCATGCTAGGTAACACAAGCCAACTCAATACAAATTTCAAATGATTAAATGTGACAGCAGCATTCACTGATATTGCACACATTGCACGGTGGACTTTTTACAGTTTACACAGTCATATAATTGCTCATAGGCTGCTTGCATCCTGCATGTGCAGCTTTTTATCAGGATCAAAGTTTAATACTCTGGCCCTTCTTCTTCCTTTTTGTGCTGGTAATTAACCTTAGCTGCTAGGACCGCACCAGTTTAGTGAGTAGGCAGAAATGATAGTTTATTTACATCCCAATTTTTATATTACTTTTATTATTACTTAGCTTCCATCAGTGTCACCTTTAATTACAAATAAAATAGGATAGCCTTAAACTGATCTTAATAATTTAAGACAAACCGGGACTACCTCTCATATAACATATGCCAAAGGCAAAACCAGGATCCCCTTGGGTATGTGAGTACTGAAACCATGTACATTCTTTCATATATGAAAATTGTATGTTTTTTTTTAAACTTTAAGACATGTAATATATATACAGTGGGGATCGAAAGTTTGGGCACCCCAGCTAAAAATTTGTATTAATGTGCATAAAGAAGCCAAGGAAATATGGAAAAATCTCCAAAAGGCATCAAATTACAGATTAGACATTCTTATAATATGTCAACAAAAGTTAGATTTTATTTCCATCATTTACACTTTCAAAATAACAGAAAACAAAAAAATGGCGTCTGCAAAAGTTTGGGCACCCTGCAGAGTTAATATCTTGTACTGCCCCCTTTGGCAAGTATCACAGCTTGTAAACGCTTTTTGTAGCCAGCCAAGAGTCTTTCAATTCTTGTTTGAGGTATCTTTGCCCATTCTTCCTTACAAAAGTCTTCCAGTTCTTTGAGATTTCTGGGCTGTCTGTCACGCACTGCTCTTTTAAGGTCTATCCATAGATTTTCAATTATGTTGAGGTCAGGAGATTGTGAAGGCCATGGCAAAACCTTCAGTTTATGCCTCTTGATGTAATCCCCCGTGGATTTCGAGGTGTGTTTTAGGATCATTATCCATTTGTAGAAGCCATCCTCTCTTTAACTTCAGCTTTTTCACAGATGGCATCAAGTTACCATCCAAAATTTGCTGAAATTTTATTGAATCCATTTTTCCTTCTACTCGTGAGATGTTCCCTGTGCCACTGGCTGCAACACAACCCCAAAGCATGATTGATCCAACCCCATGCTTAACAGTTGGACAGAGGTTCTTTTCATTAAATTCTGTGCCCCTTCTTCTCCAAACGTACCGTTGCTCATTCCAGCCAAAAAGTTCAATTTTAACCTCATCGGTCCACAGAACTTGTTTCCAAAATGCTTCAGGCTTGTCTATATGTTCATTTGCAAAGTTCAAACGATGATTTTTGTGGTGAGGACGTAGAAGAGGTTTTCTTCTGATGACTCTTCCATGAAGAACATATTTGTACAAGTATCTCTTTATAGTGGAATAGTGTACCACAACTCCAGTGTCTGCCAGATCTTTCTGGAGGGATCGTGCAGTCAAACGTGGGTTTTGAATTGTTTTTCTCACAATCCTGCGAGCTGTTCTGTCTGATATTTTTCTTGGTCTTCCAGATCTTGCTTTAACTTCCACTGTTCCTGATGACTGCCATTTCTTAATTACATTCCGAACAGAGGATATTGACAGCTGAAAACGCTTTGCTATCTTCTTATAGCCTTCTCCAGCTTTGTGAGCGTCAACTATTTTCAGTTTCAGTTTTCTAGACAACTGCTTAGAAGAACCCACGGTGCTGATTGTTGGGGCAAGGTCAGATGAGTCTGGGCATTTAAAACCTTTGAGATTGACATCATCTGGTCTTCCCAGACGATGATTGAGAACAATCCATGACCCTGGCAGGTCTCAGCTTTGCAAAGGGGGCAGTGCATGCTATAAATTCTGCAGGGTGCCCAAACGTTTGCAGACGCCATTTTTTTGTTTTCTGTTATTTTGAAAGTGTAAATGATGGAAATAAAATCTAACTTTTGTTGACATATTATAAGAATGTCTAATCTGTAATTTGATGCCTTTTGGAGATTTTTCCATCTTTCCTTGGCTTCTTTATGCACATTAATACAAATTTTTAGCTGGGGTGCCCAAACTTTCGATCCCCACTGTATATGGTGCTGCGCTGTGTATTATATTTATTCAGCATTGTGTTCATAATTGGAAGCGCAGCACCATATATACAGTACTGTGTATGCACATTGAAAATGCTTATGTGCTTGCAGCTTGATTGCAGTTGATGCAAAAACTTCTTTTATTTGTATTCAAAGTTGTGTCTTTTTCAGTGAGCTCCGTGCTGAATGTAAAATTGAGTGAAACAGACAGTGGGAAGCATGTATCAGTCGTTGAACTTCCAGGAGACATTCTGATTGTCCCACAGGCAACTCTTGGAGGAAAGTCAAAGGGCCGATGTATGCAGTACCATTCAAATGCAGGCAAGGAGCTTGGTATGGAATTATACGCACAGTTCATTTCTCAGTGTCAGAAAGAATTGGAATCTCACCCTAGTTGGGTGGAAGCTGGTGCTGTGCTACGTCATGGAACATATGGAAACAGACAAGTTTTGCAGCTCAACACTAATGGACCTTACACACACTTACTGGAATTCTGAACTCTCGTGACTTCTTATACTGGGAATAGGGTTGCAGTTCTCCTTCTTATTACCTCCGGTGTTAAGTGTAAAAGTAAATTTATAAAAAAAATTACTTTCTCTGAGTTTATCAGTCTGCTACAAGCAAACATTTATGTGATCTTACAACTTTATCTGTGACACTCCCTAAGCTCCAATTCCAGGGTCTTCTATGGTTAATAATAAAGCACTAATTTACTTTACTTGACAACTCTTTATCATTTTCTAAGTGTCATACAGTACATGTAAATACATTACAAAGAACCCAGTGTTAAACGGGTGCATGGTGGGCATTCAGTGTTGCAGAAATTCTCTTCAATTGATGTGACTGGAATACTTGACTTGCTACACACTGGCACTCAGTGAGGTGTTTGCATTATGCAGTATTGTATTATATCATTTAATTTTAATGCATCATAGAAAATGACCTACAGGCCAGTGACTGGATAGGTGAAGGTCCAGCACCAGCAGAGCTATAGAGTTCATGCGGTTCACTCTATTCTTCCTCCTATGGGTGTGATTCATGGCTGGTACTTAGAGCTTCTCTCTTGTAACAAGTATCAACCCCCAAGTGGCTCTACGTTTTGTCTACAGCACACAGAGGAGGAAACATCTGTGATTTAATAAAATTATTTTATGTGTTGATAAAGTGGACTTTGCGACATTTTGTAATAAAATTTAAAAAATGAAAAGACAAAAATAGAATATATATTAAAAAAAAAAGCAAACACAAAATACAGCCATACGCTCATAATATATACCGAAGCACAACGAGGATTCACAAATACACATTAAAAACGTTTAGACTACACCCATTAGGTATCTGTACATGCTAGAGGATTAAGCATAATTTAAGATTGTTGTTTTTTTTTTTTTTTTAAACAAAATGCCAAATGATGAAGTAGAATAAGTTTTTATTGCAGGCAGCTTGTGCATTTCTATTCAAATTGGCATTTGCAAAAATACAATGGGGTATATCATTTTAACTCAATAGGTTATGTGCTTTCATAGAATATACCTCTGGGGTTCTTCTGCATACTTTAAAGTTTATAATGTGCATGTGACAAACAGAATTGGTTCAGTCATCTAAAAGGTAAAAAAGGGGCAAGGACAAGCAGCAAAAGGGTTGAAAAAAAGCCCTGTCCAATGAGAGTGTCATTACTGACAACTGATGCAGTTTCATTGGATGGTAGTGGTTAGGAACATGAAGTCAGGGAAAGTCAATCGCCTGTAACAACATTAAATTAATTGAATTATCCCTTTCCTGCATTATACATGGGTAAGCAAAACAGGTTCCCAGATCAGCAGGTTACAGACAAAAGCCACTGGGCTGAACTAGAACATTACAGCAATATCTGGGTGAAACTCTGAAGCCCTTAGCAGGTGATTTTTGTTTTCAGATTCAGAATACTTTATTAATCTCAGTTCAAGCATTCAAGCTTTAGTTTCACACTTTGACTAGAGTCTACCTTTAATAAGCAACTTCAGGCAATATGTAAAATTTAACCTCGAACTGTGATAAAGACTACAGAAACAGAAATTTTCCTGTCCTGGAATTCTTCTGCGTCAACTTTGCTCTTTGACCTGCCAGGACAACTCTGTATATCAACAATTTTCTATATTTCTGGTTCACCTCATGTCAGCATACTTGTAGGATGTAACTAGCAAAAATAAGGGAGTCATGACACAGAAAACCAAAGCTGCACAAATGTTTAATCATGAGACAAGGCCAGAGAAAAAACAAAGCACTAAAAGACTGCGTTGGACAGCTTGATGACCTTCTCTGGGAACAGCTGGCAGTATGGCTTCCTGTTTGAAAAGGACTTGATCTCGAGTGAAAACCCTGTGGTTGGATGCAACTGTAAGCAGGGTTAAATTTGACAACAAAAAAACTATAAGAAAGTAGGAAAGAAGAAGAGGCCAAGGCCTTCATGACCACTGGTCAGTTCCACTGCTAAAAGGAGGAATCATTTTTATTGAAGCTCTGGGGAAATTTACCACCACAGGGTGACCAGCAAGTTCTGTAAGAGTCGGCAATTCATTCAGACACTTGTACCTTTTAAAATCCTAAGGCTGATCCCCTACTGTCTCTAATGCCTTCAGTACCGCCTGAAGCTTGAAGAAATGTGATTGTCTCAGGACCAAACTATATAATCTACCTTGGGCATGGAGGCCCAGACAGTGTATCAAAGCCTTAGAGACTGGCCTATAAAATAATCATAATCCAGTCTCTAGGGCTGAAAGAAGGTCAGATTCCCTGGAATAATATGTTAATGACTTTCCAATGCGCCCGTGGCACTGCTGGCATTGTAGATGGCCGAAAGACTTATATACAGTGGGGCAAAAAAGTATTTAGTCAGCCACCAATTGTGCAAGTTCTCCCACTTAAAAAGATGAGAGACGCCTGTAATTGGCATCAGAGGTAGACCTCAACTATGAGAGACAAAATGAGAAAAAAAATTCAGACAATCACAGGCCTCTCTCATCTTTTTAAGTGGGAGAACTTGCACAATTGGTGGCTGACTAAATACGTTTTTGCCCCACTGTAGCTTATGTACTTCCTCACTGTCAGTGAGGAAGGATCCATCACTTTCCTTGATCTCAAAACAATCCTCCATATATTCCTGGGAAAAAAAATGTCCTGGCTTGCAAAGCATGCCATGATACTCTACAGATTGTGCAGCATCCAGATGACTGGAGGCTGAAAAACAACATTAACTTTTTCAGGGTATTCAATACTACGGGTTGATTAAAACTGGAGAGTGCAAACTCTCGTGCAGCTGTGCACAGGAACAGATCAGCTTCCAGTTTTTTTTTGTCAAAGTTTAACTGAACAAGCTGACGTTAGAAGCTGATTGGCTGCCATGTTCAGCTGCACAAGATTTTAAGCTCTCCAGTTTTAGTAAGTCAATCCCTATGTCTCTGTGACACAGGAGAAAGGAGGAACTGACAAGTAACAGGATGATGTCCAAATAGTGAAAAATGTAATATTCCTGGCAGATGAAGAAAAGTCAATACTGTCAGCAGTACCTTGGAGAAAGTCCTTGGATTCCAGGACAGCCCAAATTGAAGTGTTGCTGGCAAATACTTAAGCCAAACAGCCTATTCATCAACACGAAAGAAGATCTAATCCTTCTGGCAAAATGAACAAAGTCTGCTGATACTTCTACAATAAAATTGGAAGCTATTTTAATTTCTTTATGCACCGTTTTATGACCTAGGCTTTAACAATATGGTCTCTAAGAACCAAATTTAAAGCAGACTCCACATTCAAAGTTTGGCACTTGAAAACTCTAGGTATCCATATAAGAGCTAAAGCTGGCCTGCATACTGATCCTGCTGAAGTATAAAGTCACAGCACCTATTCATTAGATCCTTGAATGTCTCCCAGGGGTAACGTTACATGTCTGGCTAGTCACAATACTCACAGTCAGACAGTCAAAAAAGGGTACAGTTTGTAAAGTCTATCGGATAATTTGGGATGTCCACTTATTTTCCAGTAATAATTTTATTTTAGATATCAATGCAAAAGTTGATAACACATTTTTAAGGGAAGGAAAATATTTCTTTGTTTTGGGGCAGATCTCCAACCCCTTCCTCCTTAAAAATGAAGTTTACCACTGTCCCAGGAGAAATTAGGCCCAGAAAAGAATCTCAAAGGCGGTGGTACCATTACAATCCTTCCTGTGAAATATTGGGATTGATGAGGATCCCAAATTTGCAAAAGTACATTTCTTCACAGTGCAGGAGCATCATTTTGTTTGTGAGATTTCGGATACTCAGCATTCACAGGAATTTACCAAAAATATCAAGAGGACACCCTCTGTAGTGCAGAACCCAGAAGAAAAGTAAACATAATTTCAAACTTTTTTAATCACTTGCTCTACAGAGGATTTACCCCCCTTCCTGACCAGGCCATTTTTTTACATCGCTGCGTTACTTTAACTGACAATTGCGCAGTCATGCAACGCTGCACCAAAATGAAATCTACGTCCTTTTTTTCCCACAAATTGAGCTTTCTTTCTGTGGTATTTGATCACCTACTTGTTTTTTATTTTTAGCACTATAAAAAAAACGACAATTTTGATTAAAAAAAAACCTATATCTTTGACTTTTTGCTATTAAACATGTACAGTAAAAAAATGTTAAAAATCATATTTCGTCATAAATTTGGGCCAAAATGCATTCTGCTACATGTCTTTGCTAAAAAAAAAAAAAAAAAATCCCAATACATTGAAATCAATTGGTTTATGTGAAAGTTGTAGCGTTTACAAATGGCGGTATATACAGTATACTGGGATTTTTTATTTTATTTTTACTAGTAATGGCTGTGATCAGTGACTTATAATGGGACTACGGCGGGCATTCTGACACTGGGGGGCAACTGACTTGGTGTCACTGACATCCACAGTGACAAAAAAGCACTGACACTGTACTAATGGCACTGGGCAGGAACCGGTTAACATGAAGGGTGATCAAACGGTTAACTGTGCTGTGTTTTACTATGTGCTGTGTCCGTGTGCTTCACTGTAAGCACACTGCTTTGCATGGCTGTGCTGTGCGCAGCCATCCAAAGCAGTGTGCATGAGCTGACAGGAGAACTGTTTTGTTTACAGTTCTCATCCCCATCAGAGATGCTCGGCAATCACGGGGCCTGGCGAGTAATCACTGGCCGGGACCCAGTAAATGACAGCCGCGAATGGTGGTGCAGGTAGGGCGTGCACGCAACTCACGCACGCCCCCTACCTGGAAATGCAAAATCACCTATATATATATATATATATATATATATATATATATGTGTGTGTGGTTTTGTGCACCCGTGCCGCCCTGTAGCAGTATTTCTGCTATAGGGTGGTCGGGAAGCAGTTAACTCCTTTCGTGTGGCATTCTGGAATGGGGGGAATCTGATGTTATATACAGAACTCGTTTTTTAGTGTTTACTCCACTTTAAGTCTGGAAACTTTCACCTCCTACCAGTC